TCATTGTTGAAAGTTTAACCGTATGGGAATTATGAGAATCACCTCTTCCCTTTGTAGAAGAATTAGATAACTTTCACTGACTTGAAGAGATCATATCAATAGAAGCAAGGACATTTCCATTTACGTTGTCAGTTCCAAACCCCAACCTGATTTGCCTCAAATATTTGGAACTCATATCGTGTTGGCTTACTCGCGTTTATAAAATTTAATTCCTTTAAAAGAGCGGTCGAGCATTATGGTATACGCTTTTAATTTGACCGCAATCTTTGGAACGATTTTAGAATACATTGTTCTCTTAATATGACGTATTGAGTATCGTTATTTTTTAATTTTTCACCACAGTAAGCACATTTACCCACCTGATGACTCTGGTGAAATGACAGGCTCCGCTGCTAGGAGTTATGTTACAGTGGAGCGACCATCAGGCGGTAAACAAATCCGAAAAGCCAAGCAAGCTAACTTAGGTGAGCCAATCAGTTAACAGACGGAAGTCAGTAACTGACCGTGTTCTATTAATGTGATATGTAGTATTTTCGTTGACTGAAAGAATAAAAGGGTTATGAACTCTTGTGGTATATCCTGTCTGCTCTCTGAAGTGTCCTTCCCAGATGTATAAATTTACGTACACAGGATTCGCAAAGAGTCATGAATTCGTGAAAAAGTATGGAAATTTTCAATTTGAGGACGTGAGAAAAGAATAATTGGGAAAACTTATTAGATTACTCAGGCCAAAGTGCACAGAGGGAGAATTTTCATTTTGGGAAAAAGCCCACAACCAGCTCTTTGCCTTACCAGTGTGATTTGACCGATAACCTTGAGTGCGGCTCTTGGAGTAATGACAAGGAAATACTTTGAAAAGGAGCAACTGACGAAATTAGAATTTCATTTCTGGAGAACTGTTGAAGTCCTATTGGTTAACCTATCAACTGTAATGACACACTTTCTGTTTATTCTTTCAGCATCGCAGAGTTATTCTCCACCCAATAGTGCCCCAGATAGCAAGCCTCAGGGCCGTCCTCAGAGTGGTCCTCAGTTGACACATTACTCTCCTCTCCCTCCCATACACATGCCCAAGTTACGCCAGGAGTCTCGGTCAGGCAAGTCACTTGAGAGTGAGGCTGTAACCCATTCAGATGCTGGGACTCCTGTGGCAGGGACCAAGTTTGAAGGCACCAGACCCAGTTCAAGTGGAGCCCATAATGGACATGACAATCATATAGGACTTATCTCCCCTGAGATTTTACCTGTTAGATAGCGACGTTTGAACCTCGATTGTTTCTGAATATTTAAATGATAAGAAAGAGATGTAACATGACTTTCTAAAGATATTTACTTTATCGTCAGAGTTTAGTTATCTAAATATTATAAGATTTCGCACGTTTTTTTTCGCCTTGGAAAGCGGATAGGAACAAGAATTGGGCCATATTTGCCCACCGCTAAATAAGAGTGGTATTCAAGACACCATTTTACGAAATTTTAATCTCTACCATTTTGAGGTATGTGTTAAAATCTACTTCTCACCGTGGTTTGAGATTCCAAAGAGTTACTTGTCCTCTTGGGAGTTGCCCTGAAAACTGACAAGAATTCGATTGCAGGCAAAAAGATCTCAGTAACCTGGCAGCACACGTACAAAGTCACAGAGTTTAACCCGGATTGAGGGTACTACACTGCACGGTTCGCAAACAACTGTTGTCTTGGTAGTCGCAAAAACTCCTTATTTGAGCCAACAATGCCTTCTTTTGTAACTATTAATGGCTAAAAAAGATGGCGAGGAACAAAAGACGTCAGAGGAAGCGGCAGGTTGCTAAGAAAGATTTATAATGGCGGCGTCTGAAGCGAATTTTCGACACTTTCGAAGGCAAATATCACAGTGTTTGGAGGGTCGTAAAGAGGTGAAAACGCGCTCCGTGTCGAAATTGTATAGACAAGGGTTACATGAGAGTGAGTGTGTAAAACTATTAAGTTTAAAGATATATCTTTGCTATGGAATACTTGTTGACACTTGTGTGTAGAAAGAGGAACGAAACTGTTCAGGCAGTAGCTTACATCACTCTACTGGATCAAATCTTCTGGAGACTGTAAATAGAACAGTAAAAGATAACAGAGAAGACTATTAAATAGGAAAATATTGTAATTGATGCTGATGTTATCGTGATAAGCCTACTAATCCAATGTACTGGAGATATATATGGCTACCACTTACACTAGTTTGAACAGAATAACTTTAAGGGTCGCAGTGCAGGAATTGCACCCGCCATCAAATCTGAGGAGTAATAAGTGATAAGTATAACCATTACTTTACAGATCTGAGTGTGCATCGAAGAATCATGATAGAAGCGCCTTTTGAACTCACCTTGTGTTATTTTGGTTATAAATCGAACCACTACACAGAAAAACTGAAAGGTGTTTTTTAAGAATTGTACTTACAAACAGCAGCTTGATAAATGATAAGAATTAAACGCTACGCAGGTTTAAAATCAAGCAGTAACGTAAATGAAGCAAATTTGGCCTGGGACGAAAGAATGTTAAGAGACGATGAGATACGAAAACAAGATCGGGAACACCTCGCCTTAATCTATTGTCCCGATCAACTATTCAGACAACGAGGTAAAGTTACTACAGATAAACAACGGACAAAATTTGAAGATTCTACGGGGTTTGCTCTGAGCACATAAACTTGAATTATTTTTGCTAAAAACTGTCAAAGGGGAAGAGATGCGGTGAAATTGACGGCGAGACGAACCATAAAAGAGTACAAAAGGCAAAGGTTCAAGATGAATAACCTAAGACTTCATTTTGGAAATTTTGGCGTTCGATTGTTCCTTTTTTAAATCCCAGGCGAAAAGCTTGTGTTAATCAAACAGAACAAATTTTCAAATGCGAGGCTAAGATAAATACTTAGGTATTGTAGCTTTTCGCAAAAAAGAAACGCAATCACTTCACGGCTACATTTGTATCGATATATGGGGAAATTCTAAGATAGCAAGTAACGGAACGACTCAACGGCTACATTTGCGTGGGTATATCGGGAAATTCTGAGATAGCAAGTAACGGAACTACTCAACGTCTATATTTGCTTGGGTATATAGGGAAATTCTGAGCTAGCAAGTAACGGAACTACTCAACGTCTATATTTGCGTGGGTATATGGGGAAATTCTGAGATAGAAAGTAACGGAACGACTCAACAACTACATTTGTGTCGGTATGTGGGAAAATTCCAAGATAGCACTGCAAGTAACTGAACGACTCAACGGCTACATTTGCGTCGGTATATGGGGAAACTCCAAGATAAGCTTTAACAAAATGATTACACGGCTACATTGCGTCGGTTGACAGACACGGTGACGATTTGACTCTCAATGGTGGCAAGTTTTGTGGTGGCGAGTTTGTTGTGGGGGCGAGACTGATCAGTGCAGTTAAATAACCATGACAAAGAAATGAAACTTTGCGTCATTCATCTGCCGCACGTGAGCGGAGACTTGTTTTGTGCACGTTACCTAGGGGTGTTGTATTGCTAATTTTGCGGTTCGAATGGGTGCCAAGGAGATCGAGTACAGCTACGCTAATGGTTCCGCGACCGCAAGTATCTCAAGACCGTAAACGAGTTTCAAATTGAGCCGCGAATGATCCCTTCTAGAACATGGGTACAAACAGCTATCGAACAGGGCATCTCTTAAAATTCCATACAATAGCACATGCAATTAGATCACAGCCCTCAAAGTAGGACGTGAGAGATACCTTGCACTTTAACAATTCATGGAATTTATTTCCGCTGACCGAAAGGAACAAGAAAAGAAAAGTTAACAAAAGTGCGTACTTCAATTTCACTTTGCAAACCAGAAGTCGTTAATATAACTAATTAGAGGTTATCTTTAAGGGAGATCTTTCGAACAATTAAATATCGAACAAGGAATAAAAACAACACGAAACAAAATACAGATCAGAGCCCTCAGGGTGGGGTGTAAGAAATACAATGCATTTTAGCAATATCAGGAATTTACATCCGCTGTCCAATTCTAAGAAAGCCAGTAATTATAGCGCAATGACTAAACCGTTACGTTTGTGTCGGTATACTGGGAAATTGTAAGATAGCTAGCAACGCAATGACTTAACAGCTACATTTGCGTCGGTATGAAATTCTAAGAAAGCCAGAAAAGGAAATGATCACCAATATATATATGCTAGGTACAATTTGTTTTAAAGGCACAAACAACCTTTTTCAAGTGGTACTTAAAATTAAAAATCTAAGTACAAGATAATTTGCTTTTATCAACTGAGTTGAAAATGTAAATTGGCTATCATAGAGAGTTTCTAAAGCTGGACTTTCGCGCGTGGATGCAGAAATCGGCATAGACGACTGATAAAACCCTTCCTTTTTAACCGTTTTCTTGGTAAAGCGGTTGAGAAGCATTTTGTGTTAGACGTGCAAGAAATGAGTGCCTGCCTAAGAACGGAAAGCAACGCTTATACTGATGGTACCTTGAAACCTTCTTAAGATCCTTATTGAGCGCCATTTTGATACCTAATAGTAGTGAGGATCATTGGTTGTCATTGTATTTTGTGGGAAAGAACTCAATCGGCAACTTTCATCGTGAGACAGACAACGTGTGAAATCATGAGTGCGTAAGCAATTGTAAGGCAGTAATTGTAGGCAGTTTTTGTGAAATATTTATTTTAACAGCAATCTATCATTTTAAAAGCAATCTCTGTCGAAGTTGAGTACATCGGTAAAACGGAATTAGAGAAAATTCTCCAACTCGTACATTTTCATAATGGAAATCAATACAAACCCTCATAACGTATAAGTACGGCATTTGTCTCAGATATTCCACATTACGCTCGCTAATAATAAATGACCTAGCTAGTCTCAGGGTCGAAGATGTTTGATCATCGCATAAAAAGCTAAGAAACAAAAACAAAGCAGTCACACAGCTAATCAAGAGCTTAAACGTATCGTGACTTTTCGAAATTGTTTGGTTGAAACACAGCATTCGATTGTTCAAGTCTCCATCATCTTCATTTTTTCAAACTTCACTTTGGTTTCTTCGAGGGACTTCAGGTTTTCCTCTAACTTTGGCAACAAATCCTCGGCTGATTTTCGGTTCGGATTTGTGCTGCTCCAACTGATAATGGCATCAGCAATCCCAATCACGGCACCCAAACCACCAAGGGCTTTTGTAAGTGCGGTGACTGCCAGTGTTGTTCCAGCCATTGCTGCACCCTCTGCGCCGGCCATAACTGATAATCTACCGCCCTGAAACACTGTGTTACTCAGCGCCAATGCTTGTGGTAATGAGGCCCCCAGTCTCATGGCATCTTTTATGGCATTTAAGTGTGGAAGAATTTTGACAATATCGACGAAACCTCGCACGACTTGAACACCAGCTTGAGCAGCCATTTTGGGAACACCAACCAAAAGGAAAAGGATTGCGTCGTCTTTGGAGATATCCAATCTCTAAGCAAAAAAATCAACATTTTCTCAATGTTTTAGCATATGCTAAAACAGCTATCCACCTCAGTTTCGGTAGCTAGTGGTGGATATTTGCCTCGCCGCTTCGCGGCTTGGTAGATATCCACCATTGGTATATACCACACAAGTAAGTTTTGCTTTATGCGCCCACTGATTGCCTAACCCTATTCACCTCCAAGCAGCTGATGAGACAAAATCGCGCCTTGAGAGTTTCATTTCCGACCATATTTCGGTATATTGATAGAAATAAACTAGATTTTTTCGGTTTCTGTGTGGAAAATACTAAAACAATTGTTCCCCCCAGTCTTGGTGAAAGTGGTGGATAATTACCTCGCCACTTAGCGGCTCGGTAAATATCTCCCACTATTTACCTTTACTTCGGTGAATAATAGTAAACTAGCCAGCTAGCCACCTCCACTTTGGTGAATATGCGTCAACCATCAACTCTTTAGTCTCACCATTGAGAATAATTTGTCTACTTCCTTTAATAACCATCTTTTTGGCTTTTAAACATTTTGTCTTCTTTTTGCTAAATCATATCCTGTTTGAGATGCGATCGTCATAAGGCCAGGAGACCCAAAGTGTTAAATTATTTGCTAACCTCGGTGTTATCTTTAAACTTAACTTCACGGTAGCATTATCTTAATTACCTGTGCAAGTATTTCAGCTTGTGCATTGAGCTCCTTTTGTAACTTTTCCAACTCAGAATCTTGGGCTTTCATTTCTTCGACTTTAGCTTCAAGATTTCCTCCTTTTACCTTGTTGGCAATAAAGTCGCCAATCGTAGTAGCAACACCAGTGGCTCCGGCTCCGATCAAGCCAGCAAGAGCAAGGGGTGCAGCTGGAGTGAAGAGGCCAACAAAAGATACCGCACCCAACACCGCTCCACCTGTCTTTGCTCCATTTATTGCTATTTCTTGCGTTTTGATGTCCTCAATAAAGTCTTGTAGCCACTTAATCATTTCCTCTCGTGAATCTATCATTTTTTGCAACTGATCCAGAAATTTGGACAACAATTCGGTGTCGAGTTTTCCGGCCATCTTTCGCAGCTACTCAAAACTTTTGACCAACCTTATCTTAAACAGAAAAAAAAGCTCACATCAACGAAAAAAAAAATTAAAAAAATGTATCATGGTAGGGAGAATACGTCAGTTACTTTATGTATACTGTTATCTAGATTACATACCGCGACAAATAGCGCGCACAAATACAGCGAAGCTGACAGAAACGGTGACGATTTGACTCTCAGTGGTGGCAAGTTTTGTGGTGGGGAGTTTGTTGTGGTGGCAAGACTGATCAATGCGGTTTATATAACCATGACAAAGGAATGAAAACTTGAAACCTTGCGTCATTCACCTGCTTCACGTTGTTCACGTGAGAGATACCTTGCACTTTAACAATTCATGGAATTTATTTCCGCCGGTCGAAAGGAACAAGAAAAGAAAAGTTAACAAAAGTGCGTACTTCAAATTCACTTTACAAACCGGAAGCCATTAATAGAACAAAAAAGAGGTCATTTTAAGGGAGATCTTTCGAGCAATTAAATATCGAACAAGGAATAAAAACAACACGAAACAAAACACATATCACAGCCCTCTGGGTGGGGTGTTAGAAATACAATGCATTTGTGAAATACAATGCATATCGGCTACGTTTGCGTCGGTATACTGGGAAATTGTAAGATAGCCAGTAACGCAATGACTTAACAGCCACAAAACATGGGTACAAACAGCTATCGAACAGGGCATCTCTTAAAATTCCATACAATAGCACATGCAATTAGATCACAGCCCTCAAAGTAGGACGTGAGAGATACCTTGCACTTTAACAATTCATGGAATTTATTTCCGCTGACCGAAAGGAACAAGAAAAGAAAAGTTAACAAAAGTGCGTACTTCAATTTCACTTTGCAAACCAAAAGTCGTTAATATAACTAATTAGAGGTTATCTTTAAGGGAGATCTTTCGAACAATTAAATATCAAACAAGGAATAAAAACAACACGAAACAAAATACATATCACAACCCTCTGGGTGGGGTGTTAGAAATACAATGCATTTTAACAATATCAGGAATTTACATCCGCTGTCCAATTCTAAGAAAGCCAGTAACTATAGCGCAATGGCTAGACGGCTACGTTTGCGTCGGTATACTGGGAAATTGTAAGATAGCCAGTAGGGAAATAACTTAAAGAGGGGGGCATTAGGGCCTATTAGAAACCGCAAAATCGTAGAAAAAAAATCAAACCGAAAATCCCAATGCCCCCTCCTTAACGGCTACATTTGCGTCGGTACATAGAAAATCTCTGAGAGAGCTTTGCGTGTATAGGGAAAGATAGCCATTGAGTCTTTGCGTTACTAGCTGTCTTAGAATTTCCCTCTTTACCGACGCAAATGTAGCCTTTGAGTCATTGCTTCGCCGGCTAACTTAGAATTTCCGTATACATCGACGCAGGTAGCCGTTAAGTCATTGTGTTACTGGCAATCTTAGAATTTCCCTGTATACCGACGCAAGGGTAGCCTTTAAGTCTTTGCGTTACTGGCTATTTTAGATTTTCTTTATATACCGACACAAATTTAGACGTCGAGTCATTGTGCAACTGGCTATCTTAGAATTTCCGTACCCACCGACGCCAATGTAACCGTCAAGTTCTTGCGCTACTGGCTATCTTAGAATTTCCGTATACACCGACGGAAATGAAGCGGTTAAGTTTTTACGTTACTGCCTATCTCAGAATTTCCTTATATACCGACATCAATGTAGCCGTCGAGTCATTGTGCAACTGGCTATCTTAGAATTTTCGTATACACGGACGCAAATGAAGCCGTTAAGTTTTTGCGTTACAACCTATCCTAGAATTTTCCTATATACCAACGCAAATGTAGCCGGAAAGTCATTGCGTTAAAGCCTATCTTAGAATTTCCCTATATACCGACGCAAATGCAGCAATTTTGTCATTGCGTTACTAGCTATCTTAGAATTTCCGTACACACCGACACAAAAGTAGCCGTTAAGTCTTTTCGTTATTGGCTGTCTTAGGTTTTCCCTATATACCGACTCAAATGTAGCTGTTTAGTTATTGTCCTCCTGGCTATCTCAGAATTTCCGCATACACGGACGCAAATGTAGCCGTTAAGTTACTGGCTATCTTAGTATTTTCCTACACACCGACATATGTAGCCGTCAAGTCATTGCGCTACTGGCTATCTTAGAATTTCCGTATACAGCGACACCAATGTAGCCGTTAAGTCATTGCGGTACTGGCTATCTGAGAGATTCCCTATATGCTGATGCAAATTTAGCTGTTACGGCGAAAAAAAAGTCAACAGATTACCCGCACTGGTGGATAACCCGCACGTTATGTTATTCAACTTTTTGGTGGCGAAAACGTGACATTAAGGTGATACATTTCAGTATTTTAAAAGTTGTTTGATCCAACTTTCGAAAACTTGAAAGCGTCTTTGTCGAGTTTAAAGGTCAAAGAAATTTAGACGCGTGCACAATTCTGTGTCAATATTAGCATGTACTTTATTGATAAGATTATACAAGATTATACAAAGGTTCAAAATTCTAAATTATAAGATTATACAAAGATTATTCAAACTGAGTAAGGCTAACAGTAGGTTGTACATTTTAAGAATATGTAAATATTATGGATACTCTAAGGAGAATTTGGACTTACTTTTTCAAAGTTTGATCCTTTCTGTTTTTTACATATGCTATTGAGGTCTGGGGTGTGCTTTTTATAGTAAATATTTAAGTAGTATTGATAAGCTCTTTGCCAGGTGTTATAAGTTAGGCTACTGCTTAAAGCAGCATAGTATCTTGGATATTCGTCATGATAGAGATATGAAATTATGGCTCTTTCTTCCACGAACACTGCCTTGAGGGATCTTTTACCTCCCCAGAGGACACAGCAGTTGAGAAGTAGGTCACATAATTATATTCTACCTACGGTCCAGACAAGTTGTTTTAAATCAGTGGTTATCAATAGATGTCTTTTTAATTGCAATTAATCATTATTTCTTCATGTAAATTGTTGCATTTCTGTTAGCGCAATGAATTCTTAATAGAGACCTTTATTATTATTATTACTATTATTACAGTAAAAACACTAGCGGCCCATGCCCAAATCTCAACGTTTCATACTTGACAGAATGCGAATTTGTGGCCACATTTTGTGCGAGCGATCGTTTAGCGCCATGTTGATTTGTTGAAAAAAGCTTGAGTATTAAAACTTGAATTATAAATCACTGTCGACGATTTCTGAAAAAATCGATATCTCCGGTTCTATTGGGCCTAACAAGTCCCTTAAAACGGGAAAATTCTCTTTAGCTCAAGCTTGAAGAGTGTTAAATGGAAATTTGTTACTGATGCGCCGGATATCTTTGGATTATTTTTGTCACCATCAAGGTTTTGTTTTCACGCATGCCGATAGCAATTTGTTCGTCGCGCAACTAATTATGCGTGAAATAAACTCGAGTCGGCATCATGTTTTCGTGCCGCTTTGCGGCGCTCTTAATACAATAAAATTCATTTGAGAGGTGGAAACGCATGTTGGTGATAACTTTTTTCAACTCAACTACCACTAGATTTTAAAATTGTCACATAACCCGCACCTCCCTATTACCCACAGTGGCGCGCGTTTAATGCAAAATCAACAGATTACCCGCGGGTAAACGACCGAAAATTACGGTATGTCAATGTGTTACTGGCTATCTTAGAATTTCCTTTTATACCAGCGTAAATGTAGCCGTAAAGTCTTTGCGTCACAGGGTATCTTAGAATTTCTCTATAACCAACGCAAATGTAGAGGGAAAGTCATTGAATTATAGGACATCTTAGAATTTATCTATATACCGACGTAAATGTAGCTATTTAGTTATTGCATTACTGGCTATCTTAATATTTCCTTATACACCGACGCAAATGTAGCCGTTAAGTCTTTGCGTTACTGGCTATCCTAGTATTTCTCAATTTACCGACGCAAATGTAGCCGTCGAGACATTGAGCTACTGGCTATCTTAGAATTTCCGTGTACACCGACGCCAATGCAGCCGTCAAATCATTGCGCTAGTGTTTATCTTAAAAAAAAATCTAGTTTATTTCTATCAATATACCAAAATATGGTCGGAAATGAAACTCTTAACGCGCGATTTTGTCTCATCAGCTGCTTGGAGGTGAATAGGGTTAGGCAATCAGTGGGCGCATAAAGCACTACTCACTTGTGTGGTATATACCAATGGTGGATATCTACCAAGCCGCGAAGCGGCGAGGCAAATATCCACCACTAGCTACCGAAACTGAGGTGGATAGCTGTTTTAGCATATGCTAAAACATTGAGAAAATGTTGATTTTTTGCTTAGAGATTGGATATCTCCAAAGACGACGCAATCCTTTTCCTTTTGGTTGGTGTTCCCAAAATGGCTGCTCAAGCTGGTGTTCAAGTCGTGCGAGGTTTCGTCGATATTGTCAAAATTCTTTCACACTTAAATGCCATAAAAGATGCCATGAGACTGGGGGCCTCATTACCACAAGCATTGGCTTGTTTCAGGGCGGTAGATTATCAGTTATGGCCGGCGCAGAGGGTGCAGCAATGGCTGGAACAACACTGGCAGTCACCGCACTTACAAAAGCCCTTGGTGGTTTGGGTGCCGTGATTGGGATTGCTGATGCCATTATCAGTTGGAGCAGCACAAATCCGAACCGAAAATCAGCCGAGGATTTGTTGCCAAAGTTAGAGGAAAACCTGAAGTCCCTCGAAGAAACCAAAGTGAAGTTTGAAAAAATGAAGATGATGGAGACTTGAACAATCGAATGCTGTGTTTCAACCAAACAATTACGAACAGTCACGATAAGTTTAAGCTCCTGATTAGCTGTGTGACTACTTTGTTTTTGTTTCTTAGCTTTTTATGCGATGATCAAACATCTTCGACCCTGAGACTAGCTAGGTCATTTATTATCAGCGAGCGTAATGTGGAATATCTGAGACAAATGCCGTACTTATACGTTATGAGGGTTTGTATTGATTTCCGTTATGA